AAATTGTGGTATATATACACAATGGAATTCTATGCCTCCATCAGAAAGAATGACATTTCCCCATTTGTTAGGAAATGGAAAGGCTTGGAAAAAATTATATTAAGTGAAGTAAGCCAGGCCCAAAGAAACATAGGTCCCATGGTTTCCCTTATTTGCAATATCTAGTATATGTATGAGTCAAGCAGAAAAGGTCAGATAATGTGATGTTAGGAAAACAAACCCTCAAATATGTATTTTAATGTTTTTGTTTCTTTCATGCATGTGTTTCTAACGCATATATAAGATTATTTCTTTGTTGCTTTGTATGTCCCTCCCCCACAGTGTAACCCCCGCTTTCACTATATTTGATGTCAGTATAACATGTGGAGGAGATGGGGACAAACAAGTCGTTTAAGGATTCAGGTGGACCTGTTGCAACAATGAGAAGTACAAAATGTCATGTCAAAACCAACTTTACAATGTTGGTGTGGTGAGGGGGGAGGGGGGTATGATTGGGCGGGAGGGAGGGGGGAGGCTGGGAAGGGAGGTGAAGGGTAAACAAAGGAGGAGTCTGCAATGCTTGGTAAGAAATGTATGCATTATCCTGCCCATGTAATTGTAACCCCTCTGTACAGTATGTTCTCAAATAAAATAAAATAAAATTAAAAAAAAAAATTAAGTTCTGGCTGGGAGTGGTGGCACACACCAATCATTATGCACCAGGGAGGCTGAGGCAAGAGGATCACAAATTTGGGTTCTAACTGGGTTACACAGTGAGTTCCCATCTGTAAACAGACAAATGTATGTTTGTGAATGGAATATTCCTCATAATGGTCATTTCTGCTCTCATGTTATTTAGGTTGGGTAACCTTGACAGTATAATCCTAAGTCTAGCTCCCTTTGGTCTATGAGAACTAAAACTATGATGGACAGGCAGGAGTAAATGTTAGTATAAATGATCTGTAAGTAGATAATCACAACTTCAAATGGTGCCAAAGAAACTGACCAGCTCCTATGCAATCAGGCTGCCTGATTTCAATAGAATCCTTCAGATGCTGTAGTTCATGTCTGCTTGCAGACTTTCCTTAACATGCAGAAATAGCTGGGCCCCGGTGGCTCATGCCTGTATCCTAGCTACTCAGGAGGCTAAGATGTGAGGATCATGTTTCAAAGCCAGCCAGGTCAGGGAATTCCATGAGACTCTTAGCTCTAATAAAAGCCTCTTAGAAAACTGGAAGTGGAGCTGTGGCTCAAGTGGTAGAGCACTAGCTTCGAGCTGAAGAACTGAGGGACAGGGCCCAGGCCCAGAGTTCAAGCCCCATGACCGACAAAAAAAAAAAGGCAGAAATATTCAGATAAACTAAGATGCATATAAACTCTCTAGTTATGTTGCCATATAAAGGCTATAGCAACATTTTGTCATGTTTACATTAAAATGTTCTTAATTAAGAAGGCAGAATAAGCTGGGCCCTGGTGAATCATGCCTATAATCCTACCTACCAGAAGGCTGAGGTCTGAGGATTTGAAGCGGGCCTGGGGAGGAAAGTCCCTCTGAGAATCTTATCTCCACTTAACCTCTCAAAAACCAGAAATGGAGCTGTGGCTTGAAGTGATAGAGCTCTAGCCTTGAGCAAAAGAGCTTAGGGACAGCACCCAGGCCCTGAGTTCAAACCCCGCAACCAGCAACAACAACAAGAAAAAAAGGCATCATGTTTTAGCATTTTACTAAATATAAAATTTTTATTTTGGAAAAAGATCAAAAACCCAACAACAACCACAACAAAAAGTATAAAGACAGAGAATCAGGCTTATCATATTTCTATTAAGTTTAGTGTTTAAAAAAAGCAGGGGGGGCAAGGAGTATTTTTTAATGGAACAATACCACACAGACAGGAAAAGGACAACACACAATATGTAGTCAGTACTCAACTTGCTGGGTATTGCCCACGTGGCCAAAGATCATGCTCTCAGTAATGCCTCAAGCCCAGAGATGGGCATTCAAGGCCCTACGATAGGAGGCAAGGCATCCAGTGCTCCCTCTACACAGCTGGAACCGTGAGGTTCTACTTCCCAGCTTCCTCATCCTGCACTTCCCTTGCCATTCACAAAAGTAATGCAAGAGCAGCACCCACAGCTATATATACTAACATGATAGTGTACAATGATCAAATTGGTTCTAAATATTAAAAGCAAAGTAACCAGTGAAGTAAAAAAGTTGTACGATATATTGAACCACTCAATGATAAATAGGAAATCATTTGTTCTATACATTAAAAGTTAACGAGCTTTAGTTAAGAGTATAAAAATTTTCATTTAGATTTAATAAAAAATTAGTTCCTACTTTTTTATATATTTGCAAAGCATTAATAGGAAAAAAACCCTACTACCCATAGTTAGAAACGACTGAAATTAAAATTTTAATTTTAGGTGACAGCTGGCACATCAATAAGAGTAAGACTGACCCATCACTTAAGGTAAGAGGCTGGACATTTCTGTTTCAATTTATGCCTGTGCTAAAACCACAGGAAGCAAATATGCATTTATCAAAAGCACTTTAATAGATACAGTACTGAAGTCCCACAATCAGATTACCAGACTTAATAAAGAACTGGCTACTTATTGTGACATCATAATTCACTCTAAGTACAAGCTGAGATTATTTGTCTCCGAAACCACTGAAGATTGGTGTGGTGAACATGCAATACGTTATTTTAAAGTGTCCTATATTCCTACAACCTATCATTTCTCCACAGAGTCTGACAGTTGATCTTTCCTGCTCACAAATGCTAATCTAAGACATTCTACTCTCTACCATGAGCACTGGTCATTTTATAAATTACAAAATGAAAATAACATATTGATCAAGATCAATTCTATTATGAACTCATCTTTTGAACAGCACAAGCCCTCAATACCCTGCCACCCGCAGTGGCTTCTATTCCTTCAAAATGTACAAAGATCAGGCCATGGTAGGTATCCTGAGCACCTGAAAAAGTCCTGTCAAAGGAAAAAGGTGACAACAAATTTAGTTCCAAGACAACTGGCTTTGAGATTCTAAATTTGAACATTTCCTTCTATAAAACAGAGAAATGTTCTGATGGACTGAATAGAAGATACTAGTTTTCTACAGTGAACACTAAAAGATTCAAAAACAAAGAGCAAAAAGCAGACCTATCCAGGGCTGGGGAGGTGGCTCAGTGGTAGAGCACTTGCCTTGCATGCTTGAGGCCCTGGGTTCGATTCCTCAGCACCACATAAGAAAAAAGAAAAAAGCTGGAAGTGGCACTGTGGCTCAAGTGGTAGAGTGCTAGCCTTGAGGTTGAAGAGCTGAGGAACAGCGCCCAGGCCCAGAGTTCAGGCCCCACAACAAGACCCCCCCCCCAAAAAAAAGTACACCTGTCATTTCAAATTTACAGGGAGATCGAATAGAAAAACACTTGATTTGTTCATCTCAGGTTATTTTATTCTAAGATTAAAGCACAGAGAACTGCATTGTTCTGCCAACTCAAGCTGGTCCATTTGGAAATTTTATTATTTTTCTGTGCCAGTACTGGGGCTTGAACTCAAGGCTTGGATGCTGTCCTATAGCTTTTTGCATACGGCTGGTGATGCTCTACCACTTGAGCCATAGCTCCACTCCTTTTTTGGGTGGTTAACTGGAGGTAGACTTCCCTTCCTGAGCTGGTTTTGAACCAGAATCTTAAGATCTCAGCCTCCTGAGTTAGCTAGTATTTACAGGAGTGAGCCACCAGTGTCTGGGAATTTTAGCTGTTAGGTCTCTTATTTCTTAGGAAGTCAGATAAGAACTCCTGTCTTTTTGGTGACATGGGTAACTTCACTTTTTTTTTTTTGCTGTTCATGGGGCCTGAACTCAGGGCCTGGGTACTGTCCCTCAGCTCTTCAGCTCAAGGCTAGCACTCTACCACTTGAGCTACAGCACCACTTTTGGCTTTTTCTGCTTATGTGGTGCTGAGGAATCGAACCCAGGGCCTCATGCATGCAAGGCAAAAGCTCTACCACTGAGCCACCTTCCCAGCCCCTAACTTCACTTTTTTAGTGTAGTGTTCTAGGACCCAGTAAGGGTGCCTCAAGTAAAACAATGGCCTCCTCTGATTTTTACTAGCAGACCCAAACCCAAGTGTTATCTACCAACCGATTAAGCTGACAAACTACTCATCTACCTGGAAGATACCCACTCACACAGTTAGTGTAAGACTTCCTGCTCAAGGATATTTACATGTTTAAGAACTGGTCCTTTCATTTATCAGTGAACTGATAGTAGAATTCATGCACACTGGAAGCTCCTAAGCATTAGGAAGACAATAGGAGCACACCTGTACTAACTCGGGGTTGTATTTAGTTCAGCCATTCTTCTCAGATTCCCAAGTTAGCCAATCACCCAAACAGCTATTTCAGGTCCTTGACCAAGTATTCTCAGGGGGGAAATACATCTAAACGTGGCTAATTCAAAGCAACTCTGATATGCATACAGAAACACAACAAGGAAACTAATCATGTGGGTACAGTGTATTTGCTATTTAAAGTTTTTGAGGCAAGATTCATTTTTTTTGGCTATCAGCTGATTCATTTTAAAGACAGCAGTAGAAGTATTCTAGAGATCAAACATGATTTAGATTAAAAACCTAGAATAATTATTGTCCAATAGAATGTTTAAAAAATACTAAATATACAAGATTTTCAGTGAGAAAGGATTACTGAATTTCTCAGACAGGAATTCTGAGTAACTTTTTAAGAGAGGAGATTGACCAATTTTTCATCTCATCAAATTTGTGGGAATTTTTGTTGTTGTTGTAGCAGTACTGGTGTTTGAGCTCAGGGCCTTACACTTTCTAGACAGGTGATATACCATGTGAGCCACAACCCTAGCACTTTTGGCATCACTTTTCAAATAGAGTCTTAAGTGTATGCCCAGGTCAGCATCACCATGCCCAGCTTTACTGATTAAGATGTGGTCTTGAAAACTTTGCCCAGGCTGACCTTGAACAAGGATCTTCCAAATTTCTACCTCCTGAGTAGCTAGGATTACCAGGATGAGCCACCACACCTGGCCTCTTCATTTGTGTTTTCTTTACACATTTTTAAAGACTTCTAACAAAGAGAAAGTATTACAATGGCCATCCTACTAAGAGAAGGTGATACAAAATATGAAAAAAGTTAATTTTTTTGTTATACAAAGAAAATTAAGCACAGCCCAAGACATCTCAGTCCATCTTCTAAGTCCTTTCTGCCACAGTAACATGTAATAAACAATGGCAAGTTGGATTATGAGTCCAGTTCAGGGTCAAGCTTCTCCACTTTGACGACTATCTCTGGGGCTGGAGCATCAGCAGAGGCGTGGTGGGCCTCTGTCTCCTTGATCGTCACAGGCTTACCACTGGCTTCCTTCTCTTCATCTGAGACTCATCCAGCTCCCATTCATCATCGATGTCCATTTCAAATACTCTTACATGATGGAGACTTGAACTTAACTAAAGAAAAGGCACATTAATGTGTGTGTGTGTGTGTGTGTGTGTGTGTGTGTGTGTGTGAAAGCGCACATGCACCTGGAACTGGGACTTGAACACAGGGCCTGAGCATCTTTTGCTCATAGCGTTCTAGTGGAGCCACAGCTCCTGAGCAGCTAGAAATATAGGTATGAGCCACTGGTGTCAGGAGTCACATTAACAATTTTCTAACTAATGGCTTTGCAAACAAATTTTATAAAACGAAGCAGAAATCAGAAGCTTTAAGCAAAGAATAGATTTATAGGAAAGTTATATTTTTAGCAATTTACTATAAAATCACCCAATTCCACCTTCATTTTACATAAAAGGATCTCCACACACCACATGGTGAATTTATGTAACTTAGAAGCCAAACTATTTTTGCCAGTCCTGGGGCTTGAATTCTGGGCCTGGGTGCTATCCTTTTGTTCAAGGTGAGCACTCTACCACTTGAGCCACAGAGCCACTTTTGGCTTTTTCTGTAATTCATTGGAGATAAGAGCCTCTTGAACTTTCCTGCCTGGGCTGGCTTCAAACTAAGATCCTCAGATCTCAACCTCCTGAGTAACTAGGATTACAGGCGTGAGCCACCAGCACCTGGCTCTGAAATTGCTCTTAATTACTCAAAGTTTCTCCAAACAAGAAAACAAAATAACTAGCCTGCTGCTTGCTCAGTTAACTGAAACCAAGGGACAGAATGACAAGCAGAGAATGAGCCTTGGAGATGACATGATTGAGTACTCATAGGATGCTGCATAGAAACAAATCCATACTCACCACACAGGACACTTTGTGAAAAACATTCCCAGCAACGTACTGAGCTTTCATGCTCTCCAGTAACTGCCAGTGCTTCTCAAAGTGCAGGGTGCATGTGGAAATAACACTGCTTTGTTCATCTAGCCTGGAGGAAAAACCAGCCCAGGAATCAAACAGGCCCTCCACCTCCCACATTCACTAGAGGAGGGGTTTGGGGCAACTGGGGTCCTACTCCCACCCACACTCCATTCCCAGGTGACAAGACAGTCTGTAAAAATACTACATTCCACAGAGCCTTGGCTTCATTTTAGTAAGGTCTTGGTGCCCTTTGTTTTTTGGGTGATGGGGAAGGAGGATACAGTACTAGAGATTAAATTCAAGCCTTGCACAACTGAGCTATGCACCCAATCCTCAATTCCCTTTCAAGGAGAGCAGATGCTCATGTTTTTAAATTAGAGAAGGAATCTCATTACTTTAAATCCTCAAGCAACTAAAACTATCTCCTAGAACTGACTTTAGACTCTGCAATGGAACTGGGGTCCCAATTCTGGAAAACACTAAAGGCAAGTTTACAATTATTAGTGACAACAAACTAAAGTTAATGCATTCCTTTAAAACATAACTCAAATGAAGTCCTCTTCTCCATTCCAAATAATTCCTCATCTTATTCTAGCAAAAAATCCTAGTTTAATATTAAAGCAAGGGACAAGACAAAGATTAAAGTCGGCACATTTTTTCCCATTTTTTAATTTTTAAGGTAACATACAATTGTAACATTAGGAAATTTGTAACATTTGGGAAGACTTTGTAGCATGAAGGAAGACTTACCTTTTGATTTTTTTCAGTTCTGGGGTAGATGATCCTCCTAAATTTAATAGCAATTAGCCTCCTCCTCACCTTTCCTAACACTGTTTGGTGGGTTTCAGCGTGTTGTATGAAGTTAGGATTTTAAAAATACAAAGTAGGAAGCCAGGCAGGCACTGGTGGCTCATTCCTGTAATCCTAGCTACTCAGGAGGATCATGGTTCAAAGCCAGTCCATGCAGGAAAAACTGTGAAACTCTTCTCTCCAATAAACCACCACAAAACCCAAGGTGGCACTGTGGCTCAAGTGGCAGAGTGCTAGGCTTGACCTGAAGAACTGAGGGACAGCACTCAGGCCCAGAGTTCAAACCCCATGATGGACAAAGAAAAATAAAAGCAGGAGGTTTTCTGCTCAGCTGTCTGTATGGGTAGACCAGTAACTAAAAAAAACATTGCCTAGCATATCTAAGAAACTGGAATTCTTGGCATATGGTAAATATAGCTAAATATAAGCTAAGCCTGGTACCATATGACTGACAACTCAACACCTTGGAGACCAATGCAAGAACTTCATGAATTTGAGACAAGCCTGGTTATTTCAAGGCGAGGCAACCTGAGATACACAATGGGACACTTCTTTTTTAAATTTTTGGTGGTTCTGGGTTTTGAAATCAGCACCTGGTACTCTACCACTTGAGCCACACTTTCAGCTCTTTTTGAGATCCTACCTTTAAAAAAATAAAGCTAACTTTAACCACACAGACCCTCTACCACTAAGGTAGTTAGTTACATTGTGGCATAAGTTCTAGTGAATTGATACTCTGCAGCATCTTCACTATTATACACAAACGACAATGGCAACTGGACCAAGAGTCTGTCTCTTCCTTCACGTCCCATGGTGTCTTTAAGAATGACTGTTACAGTTTCATCATCATAAAACTGGGCATCTAAACAGCTGAAGTTGCTGGAAGTGAGATGCGTTTTGTTATATCAGAAATGATCATAATCACATAACATTATGCTGACACTAAGCAAAAACAAAATAATTTAAAACTGTAGGTGATATTCCCTGCAATGACAAAACACCTTATCAGTTTATACTTTTATATCAATTTTCACAAATATAACTAGTTATAACAAAATAAGTAATCATGAGATCAAACAAAATGATCTGTGACATTTTATCACTGTTCTAGAAAACTCTGGACATAAATGGCTAGGCCTTAAGCCTGTGAAAATTTCATGAGTTATACCTTATATATAACTGAGTGAACAGAGCTAACAAGAATCAAAGTAAAAGAAAATCTGGCCCCCTACAAATGACAGAGCCCCTTTGTTGACAGCACATCTGACATAGCACTGACTACACATACATCCCACATGCTTCTGTCCCAAATCAGGCTTGGGCGTTATCTTCTTCTGACTTTTTCAGTTGTAGCATAGGTGAAGCTCCCAAATTTCACAGCAATTAGTCCATTACTTACAGATCTTGAAGAAAGAAAGGAGAGAGGGGAATGAGACCCTATGGAACAACTACATAGCCAATAAATCTAAATGCCTGAACAAACATGACTGGCAATGTTAGCACACATATCTACTTCCCAAATCCCAGACCAACACTACCACTTCCACTCCAGAATACTATAATTTAAACACTTAGTCAGGCAAACCAGCTTGATTTAAAATCTTAATCACTAAGCAGCTAAAGGCCATAACTAAGGACAACTAACATCTTGAATTCAAAAATTCCCTTTAGTGGAGGTTCTCAAAAGGCACAAAGAGCTCCCCTATGACCCAGCAATCACCTGCTGGGCATTTACCCAAATGACCACAAACAAGGCCATACTAAAGCTACAGCACAACTAGGTTTATTGCCGCATTATTCACCATAGCTAACATATGGAACCAACCCAGATGCCCTTCAGTAAATCAATGGATCAAGAAAATGTGGTAAAGCTGGGTGCCAATGGCTCACGCGTGTAACCCAAGCTACTCAGGAGGTTGAGATCTGAGGAATGCAGTTCAAAGCCAGTCCAGACAGGAAAGTCTGTGAGACTCTTATCCTCAATAAACCACCAGAAAACTGGAAGTGGCACTGTGGCTCAAGTGGTAGAGCACTTGCCTTGAGCTGAAGAGCTGAGGGACAGTGCCCAGGCACAGAGTTCAAGTCCCATGACCAACAAAAAAGAAAATGTGATACACATATGTATACATACATACACACATATGTATACATACATACACACATATGTGTGTGTGTATATATATATATATATATATTATATATATATATATATATATATATATATATATATATGGAATTCTATTCTTCCATCAGAAAGAATGACACTGCCTTATTTGTAAGGAAATGGAAAGACTGGGAAAAAAATCCTATCAAGTGAAGCCAGACACCCCCCCAAAACAGGTCCCATTGTTTCCCTTATTTTCAATAATTAGTATACATCTAGGATAATTTTAACAGATGAGAAAAATAGCTCAAGAGCTATGTACATATGACCATATAAGATGATACTAAGCGAAATGAACTCCAAGACATGGAAACATGAGGTTTTTCTTTGTTATTGTTGATTTTGTTTTGTTTTTTGGGTCAGTTCGTGGGGCCTGAACTCTAGGCTTGGGCGCTGTCCCTCACCTCTTCAGCTCAAGGCTAGTGCTCTACCACTTGAGCCACAATGCCACTTCCGGCTTTTTTCTTTTTGCTTACGTGGTGCTGAGGAATCGAACCCAGGGCCTCAGGCATGAAAGGCAAGCACTCTACCACTGAGCCACCTTCCCAGCCCTGTTGTTTTTAATGTACTATGTACTTTTTGTTTCTTTGGTGTGTTCTTCCCCCTGCGGTTTATCCCCTATTGTCACTGTATTTGATTTTGGTACCCTGGTATTGTACATACATTTATCTGAATTAGGGAAGGGAAAGGAGAACAGAATCGTGAGACAAAGGACAAGGGGGATCCAATACAATAGCCATATTCACAAGTCAATATGTTGGAAATGATCTGTACAATTTGGCAAGTGGGAGGATTAGGGAGGGGAGGGAAAGGAGAAAAATGAGGCAGGGGGTAACAAGTTAGACAAGAAATGTACCTATTATCTTACTTATTAACTGTAACCCCTCTTGACAATGGAAAAAAAATCCCTTTAGCCATGTGCTGGTGGCTCATGCCAGTAATCCCAGCTACTCAGCGCTGAGATCTGAGGATCATCATTTGAAGCTAGCCTGGGCAGGGATCCAGGAGACTCCTATCTTCAATTAACCACCAAAAAGTCAAAAGTGGAATTGTGGTTCAAGTGGGAAAACAATAGCCTTGAGCACAAAAGCTGAGGGACAATGCCCAGAGCCTAAATTCATACCCCAGACTGGCACACACAAATAAAATAGTACCTTCATAGTGAGACTTAAAACGATTTAAAATGCTAATGGAACCCTGAATATCATTTGATTTTCAGAATGTTTACTTTGGAATCTCAAAAAGTCTCTGTGGGCAAGATCTCTTATTTGATGAAAGATAATTAACCTAAAATTTAAAAAAGCCTTTCTATAAAGTACTTACTAACACAGTTTTGAATCGCTAAGTGTTCTTAGATATAACCCAGGTCTGCTGTCATTTTCCTAAACCTATTTTAAAAAAACTTATATATGAGGCTATATACTAATATAAAAGTTAAAACTCTAGAACAAGAAGGGATCAAATAGCTTCTCAACTCAGCATTACCATCTCCCAGATGCAAACCTAAAGTCATGAGGCAGCTTCGCTGAAACCCGAAATGCTGGAGGGAAGCTGAATGGCTTATTATTATTACAAATATTAAGCTCTCATCTCTTCGGTTCAAACTTCAAAGGAATACTCACTGGGAAATATCAGTATGCCTTAATCTTAAGATACACATTTTATACAGTGAGTCTTCTAAAATAGTAAAAAGAAGGTACTGTAGATTTGAACTTTTATTATTCCACCTAAGGAAAGAAAAGTAATGTATTTAGCTATTTAAGTTTAGAACAAAAACTACTGTTTACACAAGACGAGGAGAACACACACTTACAGAAAAGGAAATGTGAACAATCTGCGTGCAGAGTCCTCACTAAAACAAAAGCAAAAAAAAAAAAATGAGAAAAATTCAAACTTGCTGCTAAATTATACTACCTAACAGGTAAAGAAGATTACCTTCTAGCATCTCTATATAACGGAATACAGATGGCTTGATTCATTGATTTTCCAATTTCATCCTACAGAAAAGCAAGATTTGGAAACATCATTAGAGAGAAGGGGAGCAGCTAGTGGTGAGGAGCCTGCTTGGCCTGTGCTAAAGGACCACTCCCTCCCTCTGGTCTCATGACATCAGTCACTGACAAGACAAACCAGCTCTGGGACGAAGACTGTAATGAGATTGATCTGGAGGGGCAAATAAAACACTAAAGATACTAAGACGATAATTTTTAAATTTATGTGAGCAGAAAATGAGGGAGGGGGTTACATTGTTGAAAAAGAAATGTACAGTATTCAGTACCTGACCTACGTAACTGTAACCTCTCTGTACATCACCTTTACAATAATTTTTTTTTGTCGGTGGTGGGGCTTGAACTCTGGGCCTGGGAACTCTGTCCCTCAGCTCTTCAGCTCAAGACTGGGCACTCTGTCCCTCAACTCTTCAGCTCAAGACTAGTGCTCTACCACTTGAGCCACAGTGACACTTCTGGTTTTCTAAGTGGTTTATTGGAGATAAGTCTCATGGCCTTTCCTGCCCTAGCTGGCTTTGAACTTGATCCTCAGATCTCAGTCTCCTGAGAAGCTAGGATTACAGGCATGAGCCATAAGTGCCTACCTTATAATAATTTTAAAAATACATAAAGTAAAATAAATTTATATAAGGAATTAACTATGGATATAACGAAGCCATAAGAAACTGCCAATTTTGACAATCAAAACCAGTTGAATATCAGCATTTTTACAATTTATCCTAATATATATGTTCATTTACATAGATGAGACATACTATACTCTTGTTCCCACACAAAGACATGCATTTCTTCCCAACTTACTGCTGTCACTTGCAAACACTGATCAATAATGGTTTCCATTTGCCTTTTCACAAAATGCAATGATTTTCGAGCATAATAAGGAAACAGCAAAGGGCTTTCTGGTTTCAGACAAAAACAGAAACAAAACAAAAACTATAGCAAACCAATGATTAGGAGAAAATAATCCAGTGTCAGAAGCAGTCCATACTTTTTCATGGTGGAATTCTCATTATACTTTGGACATACCTTGTTAAAATAAATGACCAGAATCTCCCTTCAATCCAGTCCACTTAATACAACTACATTCGCTTGGTCCTTCTCATGCTTAGTCCTACACCAAAGCCCAACAGTAAAATGCTATTGGCTATTAGAAAAATGGAAGGCATTGGAAACCATAAGCTATGTACTGAAACCTGTTCTTTCTTCTCAACTCTGCCACAATGTGATAGCAGCAGCAGTCCAGGCTACTCTGCCACTGCTAGCTTTGTTTCTTTTTTGTTGTTGTATTCAGTATGCTTTTTATTTTAAAATGGTTTTTTTATACAGTATTACAATATCCATAAGAACTCATCGTATTCTCCAACTTAAAAGGAAAAAAAAACAAAGAGGCCTACTGGGCCTCTGGAACTGCCTGGGATGAAAAGAGCTGTGAATCAAGCTGTGATTCAGGCCCACCAGCTCAAATGGCTCTGAGACTGTCTCTCCCACACTCAGCACTTCCCTTCACAGCTGTGTTAGGTAAAAAAAATCATCATTTCAGCACTTTAAGGTTCAAGAGGTGACATACTAGGTAATTACAGAAAAACATGTTGCCTTTGTCCCCAGTTCCCAAAACTCAGCTCCTGAAACCCAGATATCCTGAGTAGTAAATGTGATGGCCAATTTTAATGTGGCCACTCTGGCAGGTTCCTGCAAAGCCTCAGGGTTGGGTGGGGTGGAAAGACTATGCCTTAACCAGAAGCTTATAACTTTCAGCTCCATCTGCCAGACTGCAGGAAAGGAATAGGGGCTTGGGGTTGAATTCTACCCCAGTGACTTAATCATTATAATAAAGCCTCCATCAAAAACCCAAGACAAACTGGGAGAGAGTAAGGGAAAGGGTGACATTGTCAAAAAAAAGAAATGTAATCTTTACCTGCCTTACGTAACCATAAACTTTCTTTTTTTTTCTTTTTTCTTTTTTTCTGGTCCTGGGGCCTGAACTCTGTGCCTGGGAGCTGTCCCTCAGCTCTTCAGCTCAAGGCTAGCACCGTACCACTTGAGCCACAGAGCCACTTCCAGCTTTTTCTGCTTATGTGGTCCTGAGGAATGAAACCCAGGGCTTGATGCATGCAAGGCAAGCCCTCTACCACTGAGCCAACTTCCCAGACCACCATAACCCTTCTTTACTAACCTTCTTAATAATTAAAAAAAAAGACACTGGGGAGGTTTGGATGGCTCCCTGGTTGGTGAACATGTTGAGTGCTGGGAGGATCTAAAAGCTGTGGCCTCTTCCTCCATATCAAACCCTGAATGATGTTTTCCACTGGGCTATGCCCAAGTTAAATTTTTATTACAAACAGTCTGGAAAGGAAAGCTGAATGTGTTCCTGAGCATTGTACACTAGTCTGGAAGCTATGCCAACTTAAGGGAGAAAGTTGGGACATATGTCCCATAGTCAAGTCCCACAGAGGTGTGAGTAAGGGAACCTAGCTCTTGGGACTGATGTAATGTGAGGAGTCTAGCGGACTGAGCCTTCCTCCCCCTGGAGGCTAATGCTCATTGTGGGTGCTCAGTGTCATAACTGCAATGAATTGCATTGCAGGACCTTCAGCTGGTATCATAACTGGCTGGTGTCAGAAGGGAAAAAATAATTTTAGTGTCAGCATAGTTAATGTACCACAGCACAGTTAATTTCAGGGTGCTTTCTATCTATCATGGTGACATCATATTCTACTTGTTAAAATGCTGTTCTCTAATCAAATAAAATGGACATGCCAAGTAAGCCTGAAGAAATTAGACAAATTTTGAGGTTACTCTTTAATCTCAAATAAGTATAAACATGGCCAACATCTGCTTGGTTCATAAAGTACCTTTAAGATGGCTGCTGTTTTGGAGGAAGTCATACCACTGGTTTCCTTCCATGTTAGGGGGTGATACAAGGCCATCATCTTCATCTTTCAAATACTAAAAATAGTTAAAATTTTTTTCAGTTAAGCAATGATTCAGGCTCTAATCTCTATTTAACATTATTCTAGTTAGTAAGTTATCTTGTTGTACTGCCAGGTTCTCTGAAGGTACATTATTTTTCTAAGTGAGGTGACAAATTCTAGACAACATGAAAATGACTTAAATGGCCAGAGTACAGTAAATGTAGAAACCAGAGTTTACATTTTGTGGTTCATTTTCAAGATATATTTTAACCTTACCTATCAGGGCTATATTTTAGTTTTACAAGTACCAACTGACAGTATGCTCCACAAGGGCAGTTCTCACAGTGTAGCCCCATCCCTGAGAGTGCTCAGCATGCTTCCATTGACTACAAGGTTAATGCCAGCTTTAGTGCCAAGGTGTCATTTGCCCTTTCACGGTGTCAACATTTGCACTGAAGGTGTGGAAGAAAGAACAGCCAGTACCTGCACCCCTCACCTAGTGGACCAAATTCTTGTGTTCTTTGTCATATATTCAGTTTCATTAATCCTGATAGAACTATTAAATTGTTAATTCTCAAGTCTTGATGGCAGATCTTTTAACGTTTTTTGAGACAGAGTTGGGAGGCACACAGGGGTGATTTTACAACACATCAAAGCATGCAAGGTTGTCTTGAAGAAAGACTGAAACTGTCTTGTTTCAGTTGTAAAGGCAGACATTTTGTAAAAAATGACATTCCAGGGGGGAGGATGGGAAGGGATGGGAAGGGGAAACTAAGGAGGAGGCTACAATACTTGATAAGAAATGTACTCATTATCTTGCCCATGTAATTGTAACCCCTCTGTACAGTATTTTCACAATAATAAATAAATAAATAATTTTAAAAATGACATTCCATTTTTACTTGGAAACAAAAGACTAGGGGACAAACTGATTCTTCATACTTAGATGTTTGCGAGGTATTTTTTAATTTAAAATTTTTTATTTATTTTATTAAATAGATGCACAAGGAGTTGCCATTGTTCAGCTTATGGACAAATATGTCTTGGTCAATGTTACCCCTTTGAACATGCATACTCATCCATCCCTCTACCCCCTCAAACTCTTACTTTTGGCAGGTATTTTCTTGAAAATAAAGTGACTTTGAACAAAACAACCTAAAATATTTATTGCAAATAACATTTCAGCTAAACTTGGTTCTAACGGCCTATAATTCCAGCACTTAGAAGAGGATGAGGCAGGAATATCACAAGTTTAAGGCCTATAGAGCAAGACCCTGTCTCAAAAAAAAAAGCAACTTTTAAGCAAAACTCAAAATGTTGGCACCTGCATCTGTTACTGAGTGCCTGACAGCTTCACAGTAACTAAAGACTGATTAGAGTAGACTGAAGTCACCTGATATTTATAATGTATAATGGAAGGCATCAGTACTTAAAAAGATCTGTAAAAGCCACAGAACCAATATTTCTAAAAAGACCAAGTTATGATGCTATGAAAACAAGCATGAGTAAAAGTGCCTTTCAAAGTGCAAGGAAGATGGAGAGATTTTTAATGAAACTGAGTATGAAGTGTCTACTAACCCAATTTTAGATTCCACATTAAAAACTTCCAAGAGACCAACACTTGGAAGGATTTTGTATAATATTAAAGAATATCCTCAGTTAAAGGACAAAACTAGTTCAGTACTTTCTCCTTTCCAAGGACACACACCTGCTTGAAGTTAGATTTTCCTTATATACATTAAGCAAATTAGCATATTAAAACAGAATAAACACATAGGTAGACATTAAAATTAGCTGTCTTCTATTAAGCTGGACATCAAAGACAGCTGAGAAAATACACAACAATGCCAGTTATACTGGCATTATATTATTTTCCATAAAATTTAGATAATATGAATTAACAGTACAAAGTCTTAAAATTCGTTCTTAAAAATCAAACCAAGTTCAATAGAAAGCCCATACCTGACCAACTTTTTCAACATTAAAGTATTTTCTTTTTTGATTATAAAAGTCTGGAGCCTAGAAAGAACAAACATAGTTTATTTCTAAAAGCTCAAAATATTAAGAAAATAATCTTAAAATTAACAAACTCAATATGTATTTTATAAAACAGCTATCCATAGCATTTAGTTTTTTGCAGATTGTAAGTACATACAAACAGAAGTCTACTTATAGACTTTATGTTTAGTCTTTTTAAAATTAGTCTTTTTATAAAAGTAATTGCTAATTACTTTTTTTTTTAAAGTTATTATCTTTTTTTTTTTTTTAATTTTATTTTATTTTATTTTATTTGAAAACATACTGTACAGAGGGGTTACAATTACATGGGCAGGAAAATGCATACATTTCTTACCAAGCATTGCAGCCTCCTCCTTTGTTTACCCTTCACCTCCCTTCCCAACCTCACCCCCCTCCCCCCCAACCAATCATATCCCCCCTCCCTCCCCCCCACCGACATTGTAAAGCTGGTTTTGACATGACATTTTGTACTTCTCATTGTTGCAACAGGTCCATCTGAATCCTTAAACGACTTGTTTGTCCCCGTCTCCTCCACATGTTATACTGACATCAAATATAGTGAAAGCGGGGGTTACACTGTGGGGGAGGGACATACAAAGCAGCAAAGAAATAATATTATAAATGCGTTAGAAACACATGCATGAATGAAACAAAAACATTAAATACATATTTGAGGGTTCGTTTTCCTAACATCACATTCTCTGACTTTTTCCGCTTGACTCATACCTATACTAGATATTGCAAATAAGGGAAACCATGGGACCTATGTTTCTTTGGGCCTGGCTTACTTCACTTAATATAATTTTTTCCAAGCCTTTCCATTTCCTAACAAATGGGGAAATGTCATTCTTTCTGATGGAGGCATAGAATTCCATTGTGTATATATACCACATCTTCTTGATCCATTCATCTACTGAGGGGCATCTGGGTTGGTTCCATATCTTAGCTATGGTAAATAATGCTGCAATAAACATAGTTGTGCAAGTAGCTTTAGTGTGGCCTTGTTTGTGGTCATTTGGGTAAATGCCCAAAAGTGGGATTGCTGGGTCATTGGGGAGCTCTATATGGAGTCTTTTGAGGAACCTCCATACTGCTTTCCAAAGTGGTTGAACAAGTTTACATTCCCACCAACAATGAAGTAAGGTTCCCTTCTGTCCACATCCCCTCCAGCATCTGTTGTTGTTAGAGTTCTTGATTTTTGCTGTTCTAACTGGAGTGAGGTGATATCTCAATGTTGTTTTGATTTGCATTTCTTTTATGGCTAGGGATGCTGAACATTTCTTCATGTGTCTATTGGCCATCCTTCTTTCTTCTTCAGAGAAGTTTCTCTTTAGGTCTTTCGCCCACTTACTTATTGGGCAGTTGTTTCTTTGAGGATTTGTTGTTGGGTGGTTTAATTTTTTGAGTTCCAAGTATATTTTAGATATGAGACCCTTGTCCGTTGTATGGCTAGTAAAGATCTCCCAATCCGTGGGCTTTCTATTGATCTTGCTAGCTATGTCATTTGCCCTGCAGAAGCTCTGCAACCTTATACAATCCCATTTGTCCAACCTTTCTTTGATTTGTTGTGTTTCCGGGTCTCTATTCAGAAAATTTCGGCCTGAGCCGAGGAGACCCAGGGTTTCTCCTATTCCATCCTGTAATGTTTTCAGAGTGTCTGCTTTGACTTCGAGGTCTTTGATCCATTTGGAGTTGATTCTGGTGCAGGGTGATATATAAGGATCTAGCTTTAGTTTTCTACATGTAGTTAACCAGTTTTGCCAGCACCATTTACTGAAGAGGCTGTCTGTCTTCCATTCTATTGTTTTAGCTCCCTTATTGAAGATTAGATGGCTATAGGTCTGTAGGTTCATTTCTGGGTTTTCAATTCTATTCCATTGGTCCTGAGGTCTGTTCTTATGCCAATACCAAGCTGTTTTGATTACTATGGCTTTATAGTAGAGTTTGAAATTTGGTACTGATATTCCTCCAGCAGTGTTCTTTCCGTTGAGGAGCGTTTTTGCTATTCGGGGTCTTTTATTGTTCCATATGAATTTTTGGATTGCCTCTTCTATTTCCTTGAAGAATGAGGTTGGAATTTTGATAGGTATTGCGTTGAATTTGTAGATAGCCTTGGGAAGTATTGCCATTTTCACGATGTTAATCTTTCCAATCCAGGAGCATGGGAGGTTTTGCCATTTTTTAAGTTCTGTGTTGATTTCCTTTTTCAAGATTTTAAAGTTTTCATCATAGAGGTCCTTCACTTCTTTAGTTAATTCCTAGGTATTTTATTTTTTGTGGGGCTATTACAAATGGAGTTGCTTTCCTAATTTCAGCCACACTTTTCTCATTGTTGGCATAGAGAAAAGCCATTGATTTTTGGGGGTTAATTTTATAACCTGCTACTTTGCCAAAGTTTTGAATCAGCTTCAGTAATTTGGGAGTGGAGTCTATGGGATTCTTTAAATACAAGATCATGTCATCTGCAAAGAGGGAGAGTTTTATTTCTTCTTTCCCTATTTGGATCCCCTTTATGTCTGCATCTTGTCTTATTGCTGTAGCTAGGCATTCTAACACTAGATTGAAGAGAAGTGGAGAGAGTGGGCATCCTTGTCTTGTTCCTGAGTTAAGAGGAAATGGCTTTAGTTTTTCACCATTGAGTATAATGCTGGCTGTAGTTTTGTCATATACAGCCTTTATTGTACTGAGGAATGTTCCATGGATTCCTAATTTTTCCAAAACCTTCATCATAAAGGGGTGTTGGATCTTGTCGAATGCTTTTTCTGCGTCTATTGAGATAACCATGTGGTTCTTATTCTTGCTCCTGTTGATGTGATGAATAATATTAATTGATTTGCGTATATTGAACCAGCTTTGCATCCCTGAAATGAATCCTGTTTGATCGGGGTGTATGATTTTTTGGATGAATTGTTGAAGTCGGTTGGCCAAAATTTTGTTGAGAAGTTTTGCATCAATGTTCATCAAAGAAATGGGTTTATAGTTCTCTTTCTTTGATGAGTCCCTGCCTGGTTTTGGGATGAGGGTTATGATGGCTTCATAGAATGTGTTCGGTAGTGAGCTTTCTCTTTCAATTTCATTGAAGAGTTGGAGGAGAATTGGTGTGAGCTCTGCTTTGAAGGCCTTGTAAAATTCCGCTGTAAAACCATCTGGTCCTGGACTTTTCTTAGCTGGGAGGTCTCTTATTGCTGTTTCTATTTCAATGCTTGATATGGGCCTGTTAAGATAGTTTAACTCATCTTGGTTTAGTTTTGGCATGTCAATATTTGCTAGGAAGAGGTCCATTTCTGTCACGTTCTCAAACTTATTAGCATACAGTTTTGAGAAGTATTCCCTTATAATGTTCTGAATCTTGGTTGTTTCCGTGGTGATGTTTCCATTCTCATCTCTGAGTTTATTAATTTGGGTGTGTTCTCTTCTTTTTCTGATAAGATTTGCTAAGGGTCTGTCAATTTTGTTAAGTTTTTCGAAGAACCAACTCTTTGTTTTGTTGATTCTTTCTATAGTTTTTTTGGATTCTAATTCATTTAATTCTGATTTAATTTTGATTATTTCTTTCCGTCTACTGGATTGGGGTTTATCTTGCTGCTCTTTTTCAAGGAGGTTTAGGTGCGTCATTAAATTGCTAGTTTCAGATCTCTCCAATTTGTTGATGTAGGAGCTCAGAGCTATAAACTTGCCTCTGAGTACTGCCTTTGCTGTGTCCCAGAGGAGCTGGTAATTTGTGTGTTCATTTTTGTTGAATAGCATGAACATTTGAATTTCCTTTCTAATCTCTTCCATGACCCACTCATGATTCAGCAGTGTGTTGTTCAGCCTCCAGGTGATACCGGACTTTCTTTGGTGGCTTTTGGTGTTGAGTTCTAATTTTATTCCCTTGTGGTCAGAGAGAATGCAAGGTATAACTTCAATGTTTCTGAATTTAGACAAGTTTGCTTTGTGGCCTAAAATGTGGTCTATTTTAGAAAACGTTCCATGTGCTACTGAGAAAAACGTGTATTCTGATGCTGCTGGGTGAAATGTTCGGTAAATGTCTGTTAAGTCTGGTTGATCTATGCAGCTGTTTAGATCTGTGGTTTCTCTGTTGAGTTTTTGCCGAGTTGATCTATCTAGTGGGGAGAGTGGTGTGTTAAAATCCCCAACAATTAATGTCTTTGGATCTATATGGGATTTGAGGGAAAGTAGTGTTTCTTTGATAAATTTGGGTGCTCCATTGTTTGGTGAATAGATATTTAGAATTGTAATATCCTCCTGAAGGAGAGATCCTTTAATTAGTATGTAGTGACCTTCTTTATCTCTTTTCACGAATTTTAATTTGAAGTCTATTTTATCTGATATTAGGATTGCAACACCCGCCTGTTTATGGGTCTGTTTGCTTGGTAGATTTTGTTCCAGCCTTTAACATTGAAAATGTGTTTGTTTTTACGGGCAAGATGTGATTCCTGCAGGCAGCAGATAGAAGGGTCTTGTTTTTTAATCCAACTAGACAGTCTATGTCGCTTAATTGGAGAGTTCAGTCCGTTAACATTAAGAGATAGGACTGAGAGGTATTTGGGAGTTCCTGCCATGTTATCTACCTTTTTGGGGGCTGCGAAAACTGGGTTCTTCCTATGGTTCTTGGATTCTCAGTTTGGGTGCAGTTTCTTGGCCTTTATTGCGGTCTTGTTGGTTTTCTATGTGTAGGACATCTTTAAGAATCTTTTGTAGGGCTCGTTTGGTGGAGATGTATTGTTTCAATTTTTCTTTGCTATGGAAGGTTTTTATTTGGCCTTCGGTTATGAAGGAGAGTTTAGCTGGGTACAGTATTCTTGGTTGATAGTTGTTTGTTTTTAGGGCATGGCATACATCGTTCCAGGCTCTTCTTGCTTTGATTGTCTCTGCTGAGAAATCTGAGGTGATTCTAATTGGTTTCCCTTTATAAGTGATTACCCTTTTCTCTCTGACAGCTTTAAGGATCTTTTCCTTGTTCTGAGTTGATCCTGTGTGGATTATAATGTGGCGGTGGGATGTCCTATTCTGGTCTGGTCTATTTGGGGTTCTAAAGGCTTCTTGTATCTGGACAGGCCTATCTTTTTGCAAGTTTGGGAAGTTCTCTGCTAGGATCCTGTTAAACAAATTTCCTAGACCATTAACTTCTGTTTCTAGGTGCTCCTCTACACCCATTATCCTTAGATTAGGCCTTCTGATGGTGTCTTCCAGGTGTTGGATAGATCTATCATATTTCTTGGACTTGTCTTGGATGGTTGTATGTTCTTTCTCTATAATATCTAGGCTGTCTTCAATCCCTGAGATTCGATCTTCTGCATGGTCTAACCTGCTGTCAAGACTCTCTACTTTGTTTTTTATATCTTTTCCTTCTAGTTGGTCAGCTTTGATGGCTTCAAGTTCTTTGTTGAAGCTCTGTTTTAGGTCTTGTATGAATTTCTTTACTTCCTTAATTTGGTGTTCAGTGTTTGTCCTCAAATCACTTAGTTGATTGGTTATGGTTTCTTTGGGCTCCCATTCCTTCTGTTGGGTTCCATTCAGCATTCCCTTTGTGGTCTCCCTGACTTCCTTCAGCTCTTTGTTAATGGATTCCATGAATGCCTTTAGTGATCTTTGTGTGTTCTCTACCTGGTCTCTCAATTCTTGTATTACTCTTTGATTAGCTTCCTCCCGTTTGTGGGATTCCTGCAGATCTCTTTGAGTATTCTCAGCCTGCTCACGCCATTCCTCCCTTTCTCTTTGAGTATTCTCAAGTTGTTCACGCAAATCCTGTATCAGTTTTTGAGTAGCTTCCTCACGCTTATGATATTCCTGTATAAACTTCTGGGATGCCTCCTCTCTCTCCCTGTCACGCTCATACAGAGTCCTTTGTACATTGTCAAACTTTTCATTTATCATGTTTGCCAGCAGTGTTTGTAGAGCTGTTTGGGAACTCTCCTCTGGATTATTCATTATCTGTTCTAACCCCTGATTATCAAGATTGGGAATTGAGATACCCGAATTTGCAATTTTTGTTGTGTTTTTCCGGCTTACTCTGCCCATTTGAGATGAAGATAGCACCAGTTTTGTGCTAGAACACTATCTTAAGGCAACCATCAACCAAAGTTTGCATTTGTACAGTCAATAGTCTACAGATACAATCTAGTTCAACAGATACATCTATTCGACATCAAACAACTATATGTTAAAGGACTTCGAACCACAGAGAAGAATTTGGAAAACCAGAAATTATTAGGGTTAGGGAGAGATGTGGGTAAAAAATAGGAATAGATTGGTGTGGGGAGGCACAGGGAGAGTTAACTATGTCCTAATCACAGTGCAGGACATAGGTTGGGTAGGATGCAAGTAGAGAGAGAGAGAAAAAGAAGAAAGGCAAAGGGGAATGAAAAGAGACCAGAAAAAAAAATAGAAACGTAAAAATTAATGTTATTTTAGAGATTAAAAGACCATCTATTTATAGAGGAATATGAATATGTTGAGAGAAAGGGAGGGACATAGAGGAGATGTGGAAAACTTTAAAATAATGCTTAAAATATTATATAGGTATAAAGAGGTAGTACTGCTATTAATGAATTTAAGTCTCAGAGGTTTTGAATTGAGTAATAAGTTTGTGGGTTAAGTGTGTACACAATGGGGGGTAGGGTCTACTGGTTAACTATGGGTTTATCTGAGGATGTGCAGGACAAGAGTTAAGTCACATAAAGAAGAACAAAGAGGAAAAGATGGAAAGGATAGGAAAGTGAGAAGAAAAGATCAGAAGTTCAGTAGAGCTAGACAAAAAACAAAAAGATAATTAAGAATGAAAGAAAAAGAGAAAGAAGACAAGAAAAGAAAGGAAAACACACATTCACGTATTCCTAAAATAAAAATTATAAGAGGAGAAAAGAAAAAAAAAAAAAGTTAATGGAAAACAATTATTTTTTCAGAAGAGGCAAAAATTAAAGATTAATAAAAGTTTTAGAAAAGCAAAAAAAAATTTTTTATATATATAAGGTAACAAAAAACGAAGAAAAAAAACAAAACAAAAAAAAAGAAAAAAAGAAAAGAAGAAGAAGAAAAAAAAAAAAAAAAAAGGTCTTTGATTTTTTTTTTTTGGGGGGGGAGGGGTGGGAAGAGTCCTGTATCTCCCTTTTGTCTGTAACCAGAGTGTGGCTGGAGTCTCTGGTCAGCTTGAGGTCCTGTGGCTTGACTGGTTTCTTAAGTCAGTTTGTTGGAACAGGCAGAAAAATGCTCTGCTTTACCCAAGATTTTGAGATTCCCCCTCCCAGGTTAGTTTACTGGGAGGGTGATCTGTTTTGAGAATCACAAAAGAGGGGGATGCAGTGATGAGGCTAGGTTCTGGGTAGAGTTGAGGCCTTTCAACAAACAGTAGCTTTTCCCTGGGGCTATTTTGTGAAAAAAACTCACAGCACCCAGCCTGGAGCCATTCTCAGGGTTTCTGTTTTTCAATTGATTGTGGAGGCTGCTAGAGGGAGGGGCAGCCTCTGGCTCTGGTTACCCGGTGAGGAGAGCCACTCCAATGGCTGGCGCCTGAGCTGGGTGACTTTTCCCTGGATGGAACTGAGTCTGTGAGGTCACTTCGCCGTTAAGTTCTTGTGACCTGCTAAATGACTCGTTTAATTCCAAGGCCTGAGCTGGAGCTAGCCGCTCCTCCGAGCTTTGTCGGTATCCAAGATGGAGATCACCGGTGCTGGGGGGGGGGTGGCCTTCCCTCCTCTGCTCCCTGGGAAGGAGTGAGGAAGTGGGGCTACTCACGCCGAGTCTCGGATCCTGGGTCGTCTCTGGTCTGCAAAGTGCAGGATGAAGTTGTCCGCTCCTTGTCGGTTCTTGCTGGTGTTGAGTAGAATCCGCTCGCCCGCTGCGTCTGGCTCCTTCGTCCCGGACTCTCTGTGTGAGCGCTCAGGTATGGCCGCAGCTGTGGTCGCCGCTGCGACCCTGCCGCCGCAGCAGCAGCTGCTGGCAGACGCTCAGATGTGTCTGCTTGGCTTCCCCTCTCTTGACTAACTCTCTGTCCTGTGATGGCACACTTGGTGTGATTCTCTGGCTTGGGACTGTTCACTGGAACTATGAAACTGTTTTCTATGCAAGAGCTTGTTCAGTTTCCAGCTTCTCCTCCGCCATCTTCCCGGAACTTGCTAATTACTTTTTAACCATGAACCATCTTTGCTGTGATTATTTTCAAAGTGACTTAATTGTAAAAATAGCCATTTCTTTCCTCATAGAAATGTTCAGTAAGAAATTCAGTAACAAATGTGATATCTTTCTGAGTCATCTATTAACAAAAAGGGGCAAAAAGAAAACAAATCAAGGTAAAAAGTAAGCTTCCCAATAATTTGCCTGAATCCACAGTTTGGGCCTGGGTGCAGGTGAGTGGGCTGTGGGGAGCAAGGAGGAGGCTGGCTGTTCTCTAAGCTCACTTTCAGGGAATGCTTCTTTCCACATCCTCACAGAAAGAAACTGCTCATTTCCAGGCTTCAACTTAGGTACAACATTTAAGTACTTATATTTCAAGGAAAATAAAAATGCGTTTAAGACTTAAGGCATAAGATATAGAACCAACCCAGATGCCCCTTAGTAGATGGAGTGGATCAAGAAAATGTGGTATATATACACAATGGAATTCTATGCCTCCATCAGAAAGAATGACATTGCCCCATTTGTTAGGAAATGGAAAGTCTTGGAAAAAAATTATATTAAGTGAAGAAAGCCAGGCCCAAAGAAACATAGGTCCCATGGTTTCCCTTGTTTTCAATACTTAGTATATGTCTGAGTCAAGCCAAAAAGGTCATATAAGTTGATGTTAGGGAAATGAACCCTAAGATATGTATTCAAATGTTTGTTTTTTCTTTCATGCGATTGTTTCTATCACATTTACAAGATTATTTCTTTGTTCATTTGTATGTCCCCCCCCCCCCCCCGACGGAATAACCCCTGCTATCACTGTATTTGATGTTGTTATAATTTGTGGAGGGGAAGGGAAAAAACAAATCATTTAAGTAGGGATACAGGTGGACCCATTGCAACAATGAGATGTACAAGGGCTGGGAAGGTGGCTCAGTGGTAGAGCGCTTGCGTTGCATGCATGAGGCCCTGGGTTCGATTCCTCAGCACCACATAAGCAAAAAAAAAAGCTGGAAGTGGCACTGTGGCTCAAGTGGTAGAGCGCTAGCCTTGAGCTGAAGAGCTGAGGGACAGCGCCCAGGCCCAGAGTTCAGGCCCCAACTAAAAAAAATGAGATGTACAAGTCATATGTCGAAAACGAACTTTACAACTTTGGTGGGGGGGAGGAGGGTTAAGTGGGGGAGCGGGGGGGGGGAGGGGGAGGATGGGATGGGAAGGGGAAACAAAGGAGGAGGCTACAATGCTTGATAAGAAGTGTACTCATTATCTTTCCCATGTGATTGTAACCCCCTCTGTACAATATTTTCACAATAATAAAAAGACTTAAGGCAGTTAAAGAGTATAAGGATGCTATGTTGTAAGAATTATAAAACCTCATTCAAACATGAAAATTGTAAATTCAAATATCCATAACAGTATTCCTCGAGATGAAAATATTATGCAAACACTCAAATTTCTTTAGATAACAAGCCCAACGTCCTGTTATCTAACTCTGTAAGAGTACCAAAACCATGAGCAAGGCTGAGCTCAATCAGGACAATAGGTAAGGAAATTACACAGGTGTCCCCTGTTATCTGAGAGATTGGTTCTAAGACCCCCACAGATAACACAATCCACAGGTGCTCAAGATCTTTATATAAGAAAACACATCCTCCTGTACACTTTAAATCCCATTTAGAGTGCTTGTAACACCTAATACAATGTAAATAACTATTGTTGTATTGTGTAAGGAATAGTAAAGAGAAAAACAAGTACATATATTTGGAACAGATGCATTATTTTCAGAATATTTTTCATTGGTGGTTGGTTGAATCTACTGAGATGGAACCTGCTGACACACAGGGCTGGCCATACGTACTTCTGTGCATACCTTATTCAGCTCAGGAAGCACATGGTCTTCGGTCATTCTCAACATGGCTGGAAATACAAAGTTAAAAATTATCTTAAACGACTGGGGGGGGAGGGGGGGTTTGATTGGGTGGGGGGGAGGGGGGAGGGTGGGAAGGGAGGTGAAGGGTAAAAAAAGGAGGAGGCTGCAATGCTTGGTAAGAAATGTGTGCATTATCCTGCCCATGTAATTGTAACCCCTCTGTACAGTATGTTCTCAAATAAAATAAAATTAAATTAAAAAAAATTATCTTGAAATGTAATTTTTATTACAGATATACCTCAAATACCAAATGAGGTTTACTGAACTAAATTTTCCATTTGAACAGTTTCTTTTTACTACAAAAAACTTTCTCTTTGAACAATTAAACTAAAGATGAACTAAAATCTGACTTAATCAGGATCTGAAATATATACAGGATTGTTGGTCCTCACCCCAAACAAAACCTTATTGATTATGCTGCTGGGGGCAGAGCAGTAAAAATGCCTTCATGGAAATTACATTTTACCAAAAAAATACAACAAAGTTATAACCTCGTGTCAGTGACAAAGCCAGGGTGACAACAGTGTCACATTCTGGAGATAAGAACTGAGCAGTTACTCACTGCTCTTCTACTGCTGATGCTTAGTTAGAGCACGCAATAATTATAAGTAAAACTAAACCACTAATCCCATCAGAGAAAGGATTTCTAAAGTCCTACTTTTAATATTGCAATTTATTCTAATTAAAACTCAGATCTGCAACAAGCTAGCCTGAAAAAACTCCAGTTCCCTATTCCAACTATCAATCATACAGTTGAAAAAAAGGAAACAAACAAAAATATCCAACCAAGAATTCAAGTAACTTAAGATCACATTCAGGTTTTAAACAAAAGTAACTATAGTAGAGTGATAAGCATAAAGTCTGCTTTTGTAATATTAGAACTGAACAGCTGGACACTTTGCAGTATTAGCATATCAAAAGGAATTTATCTTGTATTTCACTCTAAATTTTAACAAATATGAGACATAAAACTAAATGTTGCATATGTTGGAGAGAAATGTTTGTTTCATTATTTAAAGAATATACTTCACAAAAATAGCAGTATAAATGGGCCTAAAAAAATGCAAGTATCTCAGAGTGGTGATCAAACCATCTCATGTGAAGTCAACAGGTATTTGTTAATTAAACTGCCTACCCAATGGCAAAGACGTAGTACGGCATTACAAAGAAAGTCCTAAAGTAGTCTGTGTACCACTTAGCAAGGGCACCACTGCCCATGAAAATGTAATAGCATGGTCCCAGTTCTGTGCTGTCACTGATTATCTGTGACTCCTAGGAACTTCAAAGAGGCTAGCCTGACTACATAACTAAATGTGTAATTTTAGATGATTTCAATCAATTCAACAGCCACAGGCTAGTTAGTGGTTACCACCATGGACCACACAGCTCCAGAGACTGAAGAACAGAGTGTAAAATGTAACACAAGCTACTGAAGGGCTTTTTGAAAATCTTATACCCGTGCCCAATATATAGCAAGGGCTCAAACACTCAATTTTAACCTAAGGAAATACAGTTGTCCCTCGCTGTATTGTAGCTTCATTGCATCCCAGGTTTAAAAAACAAAACAAAACAAACCAGAAATAGTGATCCCTCACCTATCATATAGTTACTTTCCAGAGCAATAAGTGAACCACAATAGAGCATGGGATTTTCACCTATCACGGGGGTGTCTGGAACTTAACTCCCAAGATAGGTAAGGGATCACTGTACTAGTGAGTGTAAGGGGCACAGGTGTTACAAATTAGCTTTAATACTTCTATGGGGGAAGCATGGAGTAGGTGAAATAGGACTGCCATAGATGGACAACAGTTGAAGCTGGGTGAAAGAAGGAAACAAGGAGGCTCATTATACTATTTTATAAGTATTTGAAATTTTAACAGACTAATTCAAATCTAAGATGTATTTCCACAGTTTTCAAAAGTGTTAAAACAACAATGTTAAAGTTAACTTACCCACATAAAGCCACCAGAAAAATGCCTTGAAATTCTTTATACTAATGTCTATAATTCTAAAAAGATAAACAAATCAGAAAAAAAAAAGTTCATGTAGTACTGTTCAACTGTCACAGAGTAAAATAAACCTTACTGTTCTTCTTTGTCTTGTCAGGATTTAAGCCCTTAGAAGAGCAGATTTTACAAGCCAAACATTATTACATTCCTAAAATTAAGGCAATCAAAAACAAAACACATCTCGATTCTTTCAAAAAATTAAGCAAATAAATGATCCTATCTGGTTGTAACTGTGTTTCCAAAAAACTGAATCTTTCCCAGCATTCTGTGACATATGAATTCTTTTCCTAACTCTGCAAGTAAGTGAGGAAAAAATTTTCCCACATTATTTTTTGTTAAAAAATTACTAATCAATAAAAAAAAAAACTGACTCCAAGAGGAAGTTACTACTATAAACTTATGTTATGTCACAATGTCTGATACCACTGGACATCATTTTATGAAACTGATTTTTTAGTCCAATAAATAAATGAGGTCTCAAAAATTGAATTCTCTTGGATTTGACACAAATGAAAAAACGTTAAGTATTATAAATCAAACTCATCTTCATTTTGGTGAACTTTCTGAATACAGAGATGAGTTCAATTTTTATAAACTCTTTAAGTTTACTTCTATGTGATAATTACAGTAAGCAAATAATACCTGTACTGATTTTCCTTGAGGTCCTAAGACCTGAACCGGGAGCCTGTGCATACTAGACAACAGTGTGCCAGTGAGCTACGTTCCCAGCAGTACAAGTATTTTTTTTTATGTTTCATAATATCACTGAGAGGTAGATCAGTATCAATCACCCTACTAGGAAATCAAAGATTGCAGCACTCCTATGTTATCAAGTAAGGTAACTAACATTCTCTTGCAGCACCAGTGAAAAACAAAGTTTCTCTGTGTTCTACCTAACTAATACCTTCACCCCTACCTAACACAACCAGACCACACTAAAGCCCTCCCCCACTGCTCTGTTCCTCCATCTGTAACCCTTCGTAGTGACATTTTTTCTACTTAAGAGGATCAAGAAGTTAAATACTTTCTATTCATCGTGAGAGGTAATCCTAGAAAACTTAGTATATCATATTTGCTCTCAGCAAATGTAAATTCCAAAAATATTCCAAAACACAGGAAAAGCAATGTCATTTCTCCTCTCACTTTGTCTTCTGAGCAAGTGCTGGAGCTTTCACTTTCTAGAGCCCAATTATAATGACAGTGAACAGGAGGAAGCATATGTATTATAAACTTAGAAAAATAAAGAGTAAAGAACAACTTAAAACTAGTTTCAGAAGTACTGAATACTGGTGAGTGACAAAGTTCCCCAGGAGAAGCCAAGTGCAGACAGCTCAAAGAGCCAACAGCCAGGAATGACAAGAGAGTCTGAGAAGCTTGGTGCTGGCGGTTCACGCCTCATCCTAGATACTCAGGTGGCTGAGATCTGAGGCCTGCAGTTCAAAGACAGCCCAGACAGGAAAATCCAGGAGATTCATAAACTCCAACTAATCACCAAAAGCCAGAAATGGAGCAAATGGTAGAATGCTAGCCTTGAGAAAAAAGCTCAGGGATAGCACTCAGGCCTTGAGTTTAAGTTCTGAGACTGGCACCAAAAAAAAAAAAAAGAAAGAAAGAAAAGAAAAACAGCTCAACAGAAAGTAAAATGTATTCCTAAACTGTATCTTACTGTACTGGACATACTAGCCAAATATAAATAGATTAAAAACTGAATCAAAGTTAAATTTCGTAGACTTGAAACTCTTTGTATGATTAAATAAACTTACAATCCTTTTGCCTTAGCATACCAAGCACTGGGATTACAGGTATGTGTGTAAGGTTCTTATTAATTTCAAATGTAAATATTCACAATCAATAGCATCTAAAAGGAAATAAAAAATATAAAGAAATAGTCCTTGTTAAATAAGTAAACTATATCTAATATATTCTGTCGAGATATTAAATCACTGCCTTCAATTCCCATAGCATCCAGTCCAAGGGGTTTGTATTTTTGCTTCCATGAAGCCATTCCTTTCAGTTCACTCAAATGATACAATAAAGACTCTGAGCCACTAGCACAACAGGAGACATAGTATCATTACTTAGTCACAGGAGACATAGTATCATTACTTAGTCACAGGAGACATAGTATCATTACTTAGTCACAGGAGACATAGTATCATTACTTAGTCAGGGTGGTAGGCAGTGGTAGACAGTTCCAATTTTTCAGAAATAAAAATTTAAGGTAACTATTTAATTTTCTTGCCATTAAAAAAATTGTATCTCTAGTTCTGTAAACATAAGCACAATCATCTGGCTATCATCTACTGAAATGAATATACATGACAATACGATTAAATTTTATATGAACAAATTGTGTTTCACAGTCCTGGCACTATCTGGGGGGAGGGGCCATGCTAGGGATGAAGCTAGGGCCTTGCATAAGCTAGCAAGTGCTCAACCACTAAGCTACCCCTTAGCCCCAATCTTGGCACTTTAAAGACAGCCAGTAGGCAATCTTGTTCACCCATATCTACCCAATACTAAACAAATAGTTTTTGAGATCCAACTTTGTGTCAGACATTGTGCTAGATGCGAGGGACAGAAAGCTGACAAGAATCAGGTCCTTGTGACCACAGAAATTACAGCATAACAGGGGAGACAGGTCTCAACCACATGATCATACAGTGTAATCTTCCCAATGGCCATAAATGCCTTGAGAGGAATGCATAGGACAAGGGTATAAGTGTAATATGAGTTAATATGGGGACTGGTGAAAAAATATGGGGACTGATCCAAAAGAAGGGACCAGGAGCATCTGTGAGAGGTATTCTATTGGATTTACTAAGGAATACACATTCTACAGGGATGGGGATATAGCTCACTAGTAGAATGCTTGCCCAGCATATACAAGACCCTGGTTTTGACCCAGAGCATTGCAAGAAAAGGAAAAAGAAGAGTAAAAAGACCAGACATTTGTGGAACAAAGTACAGAAAGACCAGTGCAGAAGGCATTACATAACGGGCTGTATACAAATTTAAACTGAACATTCAGCATCCGCTTGTAAAACTGTCACTCAAGCAGCTATGGAAAGGAACAACACGAGACCTGGAACACTAAAAGGAATCGTGGCTCTGCCATGTACTATCTTTGGGCCATCCATATAACTAATTCAGTTTCATCCTGGTAAAATGAGACTCAGAACAAAATTCTAGGGTGTTGAATTGAAAATACACAATATGTTTTACAAGATAAAATATACAACATACTCAATTTTCTCTGTGGAACAAAAAAAGGAATATACGATCTATTTCAAAATATACCTTATAGTTTAGTGGGGGGATCCAGATGGGAGACTTGCTTGGTGAAAAGATAGTGAAAAATTATTTCATGAAGCAGAAATAATCTTTACACTTGAGTGTGCCAAGATTCCCCTTCAAATGCCAATGCAAAAATTTCAGCTAGGCACTATTCACAATAAATAGCCAAGATATAGAAACAACCCAGATGCAGAGAAATGGATGGAACTAAAATGAATCAGTGTGAGTGATGTAAGACAAGAGCAGAGAGATAAATAGCACATGTTCTTCCTGATATGAGGATGTTAAAATCCAAAACACAAGGAAATACGACAAAGTAAACAGGACTCAAGAAACAAAGGACATCTACTTAATCTGCCATATAATTTCTAAATGACTCCATGTTCTTGACCTCATATAGGGTATATATGTGCACACATCTAAGGGAAGCTAGGAGGAGGGCATGGAATCAGAGGGAAACAGGTGAAAAAATACAACAGAGGAACCCATCAGCTACACTGGACATTGATGAAAATGAACTAAAGAACTCAAGGGAGGGAGGGAATGAGAGGGAAAGAGGGAACAGCTAACACTAAGCAAAAGGAAAGAAATATATTTATCACCCAAAGCAGAAGAAATATTGTCAAAGCTTATAGAATTCACAAACTTTATAGACCAAGATAATCACAATTTGCCTTGCAAAGGTTAAAATGTGTTTGTGATTTTAACAAAATATCACTATCCTACAGTACTATGAAATTTGTTACATTTATATAATCACTTAATCTCACTAAAAATTATTATTAAAAAATTTTCAGGGTAGTGGCACTGTAGCTCAAGTGGTAGAGCGCTCGCCTTGAGCTGAAGAGCTGAGGGACAGTGCCCAGGCCCAAAGTTCAAGGCCCATGACTGACAAAAAAAAAAAAAAAATTCTGCTAGGAAAGATTCCAGAAGAAAATGCCAGACAATAAAGGTAAATTTTCAGAAAGACCAAAGCAATGCCCATCATCTTTATACCTCTGCAAATGACTTATAACCAACTTCTGAATACTGGAATATGATGACTTTAACAGCACCTTTACAGTTAGCTGGTTCACCAAAAGGGGCTGAAGTTCAACACTACAATGAAAAAGGATGGTTTAGTCATTTCTCCATCTAAAATCTGTACACATTGCTTAAAATCATAGATTTTAAAGAAAAAACAAGATTTTGGAACAAAGTAAAACTACTCCCAACAAAAATACAGCTTTCTTAAAAAAATACAACTTTCTTTTGTATACAAAAATAAACAAAAACATAACCCTAACACACTTAAGTACACATGAGGATACACTGCATATTAAAAAGGACTTAGCTTAGTAAGGCAAAGGGCAATGCTCACTAAGCCATATTGTACCAATCTAAGCATTTAGGAAAAAGATGGCAGAGGTTTCCACAAAGCACCATGGAAATCACATCTGAAACACGGGAGGGAATAAATGAAAACCATAAAAAATAATTCCAGAAGTAAATACAGATTAACCTTTTCATGCTCTTAAGATGGGGAAAGTTCTAAGATACCAAAAAGAAAAAGTTTAGTTTGGCAACATAAAAACTAAAATTTCTGTACAAAATGATCACATTAACCCAAAAGGGTGTATCCAAAAACCTGGAGATCTATACTCCTAATACTCTTTTTATACCAGAATTTTCTATTTCATTTGGACAAATGAATTATTCATTTTTATTTACTTTTAAAATAAATTGATTTAAAAAGGGGAGAGAGAGGTGAAACAGGGCATCAGTGGCTCATGCCTATAATCCTAGCTACTCAGGAGGTTGATATCTAAGGTTTGTGATTCAAAGACAGCCCAGACAGGGCTGGGCTCAGTGGTAGAGTGCTTGCCTTGCGTGCATGAGGCCCTGGGTTGGATTCCTCAGCATTACATAAGCAGAAAAGGCCTGAAGTGTCGCTGTGGCTCAAGTGGTAGAGTGCTAGCCTTGAGCTGAAGAGCTCAGGGACAGAGCCTAGGCCCAGAGTTCAGGCTCCAGGACAGAAAAAAAGACAGCCCAAACAGAGAAGTCCCTGTGAGAGTCTTATTTCCAGTTAACCACTCAAAAAACTGGAAACAGGGATGTGGCTCAAAGTGGTAGAGCGAAAAGATCTTAAGGACAGCATATAGGCCCTGAGTTCAAGCCCTACAACCAATCGGGGGAGAAGGGAGGAAAAGGAGGAGTTTATTACCTTGCCTTCCCCCACAACAGCAAGTGCATAAATTCATCCTGTACTGATGTGGTTGTGTTCTTTTCCTAGATAAAATAAAAAGAAATATGTGATACATGTTTTGCAGCTTATAAAGTACATCTACTCACTGTTCTTTCCTCTGTCTTCTCTCAAGCCCTTATATACAGGAAATATCTGAGGTTCAGTGACTGGAGACAACCAGTCAGCTGTTTCAATAGCTTCCTCATTCCCAAAGCCCACCCACTGCATTAAGTTGTTCCAATGGTGGAAGAGTCAGCTATGGATCTGATATGGTTTGTCCCCCAACGGTTCATGTATTATGATGCTGCTGAGGTAGTGGAATCTTTAAGAGGTAAGGCATACTGGGAGGTGGTTAGGTCACTGGGGGTGCTGCTATGTGAAGAAAATGTAGTTCTCATAGGAACCTGGTTAGATCCTGCCGAGTGAGTTATTCTAAAAGAGCAAGAACACCCTTCTCTACTTTCTGGTTCCTGGGTCACAAAGTGATCCCTCTGCCAAGATGCCATCTCCCAGAGGAAGAAAATAACAGAGCCACACAATCTGGGACTTCTAGTCTACAAAACCTCTTTTCTGTATACATTACCCAAGTTCAGGTACTTTGTTATAGTAACAAAACCTACTATAGACTCCTTTTTGCAAATATTTTCTGTGAAAATAGTCGTTAGGCCAAGCTGTCTGAAGAAATTATGGTCTTAACATTTCATAAATTAAACTGACCTTTCTCATATAGCATATGAAGCAAATAGACTTTTAAACTCTTTCCACAGGAAATGTCAGTTACATTACCTGCACAAACTTAGTGAGACGAGAATTCATCTGCATCAGTATTTCTTGCCATGCTTCACACATACATGTCAGTGACAAATTTATATACTATTAGCAAAAAGAAGAAAATATTTTAAACCCACATTCTACCTAATATGTGCTTCTTAAGGTCACAAAAAATCCAGAACTTACTTTCAACCACCCTAATTAACTTAGTTAAGCCAAAGGAAAAGAGAAGACCATAGCTAACCTTTGGTAACTTCTTTTTTTTTATTTCCAATTGTGGGGCTTGAACTTGTGGTCTGGGGACTTCCCTGAGCTCTTTTGCTCAAGGCTAGCTCCTTACCACCTTGAACCACAGTGCTACCTCCTATTTTCTGGTGGTTAAATGGAACTAAAAGTCTCATAGACTTTACTGCCTGGGCTGGCCTTGAACCATGATCCTAAGATCTGAGCCTCTTAAGTAGCTAGGATTATAGGTGTAAGCCACCAGGGTCTAACTATTTGGTAACAACTATTTTTACCAAAGAATCAATGATTCTTAGAACTTTAAAAAGGAACTTTTTTTATACTTAAATTTTATTGTAAAGGTAAATTACAGAGGGGTTACAGTTACATAAGAAAGGTAATGAGTACATTTCTTTTTGCACAGTGTTACCCCTTCCTTCATTTCAAAAGAACATTTCTGTACCTAGTAAAACAAACATCTTTTACATTTTATTATTTAAGCTGTGTTTTATTACACTGTCAAAATGTTCATTTGTTCAACTATTAAACTGTCAGAGGACCCTTAAAAGATTTCGACCCCTAGTTATGTTTGCCATCAAGTAAATTAATGGCTGTGGTAGAACAATAATGAAAAAAATGGCCTGAATTCTTTACAGTTCTTCTATCCTGACTTATTCTCCTCACCTTGCACCTGGCTGCCCTATAACTTGCTCTAACTGAACATAGCAGAAAAAACACTGCTGAGGCCAGGGCCTTCAAGTTGTTTATACATCTTGACTTGTACTTTTTTTTGAGGGGAGGGAGAGGGAGACAGGATCTTGTTATATAGCCCAAGCTTGCTATATAACTCAAGTTGATATTATAATATTCTTGCCTGAGCCTCCCAATTGCTGGATTATAGAAGTGTCCCACCAACCACAGTTCAACTTACACTCTTATTTATTTAATTTTTTGCCTGTCCTGAGCTTGAACTTGGCCTGGGCACTGTCCCTGAGCTTCTTTTGTTCAAGGCTATCACTCTGCCACTTAAGCCACTGCTCTAGTTCTAGCCTTTTTTGTGTACATGGTACTGAGGAATCGAACCCAGGGCTTCATGCATGTGAGGCAAGCATTCTACCACTGAGACACATTCCCAGCCCTCAATGTGTACTCTTGAAACCTTTGCTGCCACTATCCTAGAAAAAGCCCAGGACTAGCTGGCTAGAAGATGAGGGAAGCAGGGCAGAGACAAAGCCACTTCAGCCAGGGACACATATCAGCTTGCATGATCAGGCTGGGTGACGTGAGCCATACCAGGTACAGATCACCACAACTTTCTGGCTGAGTTTAGTCCAAACTGCTAACCTACAAAATTATCTACTAATTTGGGGTATCTTTCTTATGATCAAAAGCTAAAATCATAAAAAGACTATTTTATTTGCAATAAAGTATAAGTAACATTAACAGGAACATTTAAAAGATTGACTGTTTTTTCCCTTTCATTTGGAGGTGATAGGATTGGATGAGTAGATTAATTAAATTACTTTTTCTGGCTTTAATAAATATTGTAAGATTAGCAGAATAGAAATCCAACTGCCTTCAGTTTTAAAAAATAAAATTATAAAGGTTACAGTAAATACTTCTAGAAAGCAAGTGATGAATAAATACCTGCAACAGAGCTGAAATGTGAATAAACTTCCTGGCCATCCGAGTTACTTCATGTAAGAAGGAGTAGAGCACATTGGTTTCAAGCTGAAAAACAAGAATAAATTGAGTCATAATCAGATGTATTTACTTTTTTAAAGATAAATTGTTCCTGTAAAACACACACACACACACACACACACACACATACACACACATGTGCATGCGCACACGTGTGCATCCTCTAACTTAAAGAGGAGCAAAGATGTAACTCAGTATCAGGAAGACCAAATCAGAATTCTGTCCCCTTTGAAACATAACCAAGTTGGAGGCATCAGAACCAAGGGAAGGCATCAAAAGGCATTAAAATACTACTGGTAAAAACAAAGAAAATACCCCTTACCAGTTGTATCACACAGAAGTTGTCATTAAAAAAAAAATCTATTACTAGCTGGGAATGTTGCTTAGTTGTAGAGTGCTTGCCTAGCATGCATGAGGCCCTAGATTTGATTCCTCAGTACCACATAAACAGAAAAAGCCAAAAGTGGCACTGTAGCTCAAGTAGCAGAGTGTCAGCCTTGAGCAAAAGAAGCTCAGGGACAGTGCCCAAGCCCTGAGTTCAAGCCCCAGGACAAAAAAAAAAAAAACTTTTACAAATTTCACAGAAAAAAAAGAGCTGCTATATTATAGCACAAATACAGCCTGGTGATCACAGTTGCTCAGCCTTAAGACACAAATGTGTACTACCATTGTTGTGAATTCTATGTCTAGGGTGCTCTGGAACACTGAACAGCATGCTATTGAAGACACTAAGCAGTCCTCGCATCTTCTATCCTTTTGTTCTACTTTGTTTGAAAATTTACACATTCTTAGGATAAACATATAGGATTTTCAGAGGAAACACTGGGGAAGTTTTCTTGGCAAAGCAAAGGTACAATCTAAATAACAGGAGCCCAAACAGTTTCCTAATCTTATTATGTATGATACACACAATAAAAGAGCCCTCACCAATACTTAAATGTTTTACACAAAAAGCATGTTTAGAGCATGTTTAGGTGCACACCTGTAATCCCAACACTTGGGAGGCTAAAGCAGGAGAACCTAAAGTTCTAGGCCAGTCTGGATTACAGAGCAAGCCTTCCTCTCATTAGAAGGAGAAAAAAGGCACAGAACCTGAATGCAGACTGCCTAGTATCACTTTCCAATTATGAGCTTTTGTATGTGCCCTGTACTTTCTTCAGGTATAATAACAGTTCCTATCCATATGTTGTTGTGTTTAAGGCACTAAGGGCTTGGCATATAATAAATGATGAATATCAGCCCTTATTATTACTAATAACTGAGTCCCAAGAAAATGCTCAAAACCAAGTAATTCTGTTATAGGAACCAATTTGTAGGGCCATGATCATCAAAACATTGTTTTTATGTGGAAAATAATAGTACTACAACAGCATTCAATATGTACAATTTAGAAACTCCACGTAGATGTTTTATTTTGCTGCCCATTAGAATACAGTGAGATATAGATACAAACCCACAGAGGTGGGGACCCAGCTCAGTGGTAGACAGCATGCTAGAACGTCCTGTCAACTCTCAGCACCAACCACCCCTAAAAAACAACAGAAAAACTAAAACATATTCTTAATCTCTACAATTATGAAATTCCAGTACATAGCTGAAAGTATGAAACCTTTGAAGCATCACCAGTGGAAACCTCTGCGACCACTGATAATGATTTCAAATCACTTGATAGACACAATGCAAGACAAGTGCCAGCAATCTGCAAAATAATCACACACCCTCATACATGTGGTATCACTGGTAGGGTGCACTTTGTAATACTGGAAGCAACAATTTATACACAACTTTAGAAAGCTGTGACACACACTTCTGGTTTCAGCGATACTCATGTAGCAGGTAAAGGTAGGTAAAGCAGGTAAAGGGCTCCTCCTAGTCACAAAGACCTATAAACATTAAAACTTCTGATCCCAATCCCATCAACAGTTGCACATCAAAGGTTGATGAACAAACAAATTCCCTGAAGGCTATGACATTTTCTACACCTTGGGGAATTGTGAGAGCAAGATGAAAAAGGCTCTGGAGAAGACTGATTTAGCAGTATTAGGAGACTCAGTACTCAACAAAGAGTGGCTTCCGATAGCTTTCATTAGGCTCCAGTTAAATCACAATCAAGTGGATCAGATCAATCTTTTCATTAAAGGAAAAAGCATGAGTAATTCCACCAAAAGTTTCTCATCTCTATAGTAATATCATTATTTTAGCTTAAAAAATCCTCTAATTATTTAAAAACAAATTGAAACTGAAAAAATAAAAATAAAACTTACTATGTTATTCTTATTCCATAAGTAAACTAGCCACTATATTTTAAGAGAAATAATACAGGAAACCTAAAAGAAAAACTCACCCCTGTGACTCGAGCAATTTTGAACATCCCATAAGCATAAAGCTGAATAAATCCAGAGCTTCCTCCAAGGACAAGAATATTTAATCTAATAAAAAAATGTAACAAGCAGAGAACCAGTGAACAACACAGATGATTGTGGGTGTTTTTTATATTTGTTGATTTTATTTCTACACTATCTTTAAAATATAATTAGCATGAACTTATAGTACAAAAGTGTTACACTGTGATATTTACAACATGAATATAATGTACTTTGATCAAATTTACTCCTAATCTATATTACTCTTTCTTAACTATCCTTCCTCCCTATCTATCCCTTCCTAAGTTTCTGGAGGGCTTCATGATGGTATTGTCATACATATATATATTCACCTTCCCTCACCATCTCTTTTTCCTTTCTCCCTCCTGCTGGTTCCTCTTCTCTCTTTTAGATGACCGTGGTTTTTTTAGCCAAAATATCAATTGTTACTGCTTTCATCTAATCTGAGTGCTAAAATTCCTCTTTGGGGAAAACCGATACACTAAGCAAACACAGCAACTCTCAATATTCAATCACAGCAGGCCATTTCTTTTGTTTCCGAAGAACAATATATATTTCTTATAGCTAACATTAAGCATTTATAGTAACATAACATACTAATAATTGTATTCACATACAGCCAATAACAAAACAGTTTTATTATGGATATGACACAATGAAGAACTTGGATAATTAAAATTGAAATTTTAAAAATTCTAGTACTATCCCCTTTTACTTATTAAAAACAAGTATACTGCATTACTGCTAACACATGAAACAAAGAATGAGCACACAGTAAAAACAGCAAGACGGTGACATCTATTATTTGAAGACACGGAGTGTCTACAATGAGATAACATAACAAAAGATTTGCTCCTGAAAATTTGGAAATGTTCCTCCAATATGAAAAGTGACTTAAAGAAATCAGACTTATTTAAATTAGATTTACCTGACATCTCCCAAGCGTTTAATAATTTCATCAGAATTCTCCTCACTACAATATAAAAATAAATTGAGTCATCTTTCAACCATGTTCTTTCAACTAAAAAAAACCATTATTTTATTTGAAAACAACAAAAAAGTACATCTTACCTAAATATTTTTGAGGTGCTGCTATAACGAGAGAAAAGAGAGACAAAGGTAAAATGATACTCATGAGAGAAGTATGTACCAATATTTAAAGCAGATTAACCTGCAAGATTAAGTCCAAAGAAATACAACTCTGATACTTTTTTGGTAATGTGGGCAGCTTGGGTAAGAGAATGTTTGACTCATCTTCAGCATTATAGAAGGATATTAGAACACTAAAAGGAAGGGGAACCAGGCATTACACAAACAGTAATAAGTTACTTCTCTTTCTATTAAAAATATATTTTTTAAAGACTCATTCCATAACATTAAGAAGTAAACATATGCCAGACACCCTGGCTCATGGCTCATGCCTATAATCCTAGCTACTCAGGAGGAGGCTGAAACATGAGTGTCACCGTTCAAAGCAAGCTGGGGCAGGAAACTCAGTGAGACTCTTATCTCCAATAAACCACCAGAAAATGAGAAGTGGTGCTGTGGCTCAAGTGGTAGAGGGCTATCCTTGAGCTAAAGAGCTCAGGAACAGAGCCCAGGCCCAGAGTTGAAGCCCCACAACCAACAACAACAACAAAAAGTAAAGATATGGCACAGATAGTTTACCTGTCTAATAATCACAAATAAGAAATGATAACAACAGAAATTTCTTTTGTTTGTAAAAACAAATGGACCTACTGTTATTCAACAGTTTTCTTGGGCTGGGAAGGTGGCTCAGCGGTTGAGCGATTGCCTTGCATACATGAGGCCCTGTGTTCGCTTCCTCAGCACCACATAAGCAGAAAAAAAAAGGTCAGAAGTGGCGCAGTGGCTCGAGTGGTAGAGCACTTGCCTTGAGCTGAAGAGCTGAGGGACAGTGCCCAGGCCCAGAGTTCAGGCCCCACCACCAGACCCAAAGCAAAAACAAAAACAGCTTTCTTAGCATAAAATACCTTCGGCCAGGTGCCTGTAATCCTAGCTGCTCAAGAGGCTGAGATCTGAGGACCATGGTTCAAAGCCAGCCTGGGCAGGAAAGTCTGTGGGACTTTTATCTCCCATTAACCACCAGAAAACAGGAAGTGGAGCTGTGCCTCAAAGTAACAGAGCACTAGCCTTCAGCATGAAAGCTTAGGAACAGCACTTAGGCCCTGAGTTCAAGCTCTTATGACAGATAAAAAAAAAAAACACACACACAAAAAATCCACCTTTCATATATACTCAGTATTGGGATACTGAAAATATATGATTTTTAAACTCAAATCTAAGAAATTTTGCTACTAAAAGTAACTTTACAGAACAGTGCAATTAATATATCATTTAATTACTGGTTCTATGGCTTACATACATTTGCCATCTGACAAGACAGCAGGTACAAGAGACTATATCATAAACTTTGCAACAGTCTCAGTAGCTGGGATAACAGCATGTGGGTTTATAGGCATGTACTACTGCACTTGGCTTATAAATAGGTTTATTTCCCCTTGTCATTCTCAAATAAGACTGGAAACAGATAAGCTAGCAAATGAAAGAATGGGAACTTAGAAGTATTTTTCACACTTTTACACAAAGTAGCTATCCTGAGTTTCTAGACTTAACAGGAAACAATTCTAAACCATGAGTACCAAGTATTGAGAACACAGTTAGCAAGAAAGTGAGCTGGGATAGGAAGTACAAATATGGTCTGCTTCTCTCACTTTCTAGAAGATTCACTGATTACCTGATAATGGATTAATCACTGTGGATTCATGTATATTTCAAATGCCAGGCTACCACCTTTTATCTATTTCTTTCAGGCCCTTCATCAAGTTGTCAGTTAACATTCAGGATTTACAAATTTATTTGATATCAAGTTAGTAAAATTTAATCAGTAAGGAGGAGGTGAGGGAAAAAATTATTTTTTTAGGGGGGGTGGTTGGTAGTGGGGTTTGAACTCTGGGCCTTGAACTCTAGCCTGGGTGCTGTTCCTCAACTCTTCACCTCAAGGCGAGTGCTCTACCACTTGAGCCACAGCGCCAATTCTGGTTTTGTGGTAGTGAATTGGAGATAAGAGTCTCATGGACTTTCCTGCTCAGGCTGGCTTTGAGTGGTGATGCTCAGATCTTAGCCTCTTGAATAGCTAGGATTACAGGCGTGAGCCACAGGCTCCCTGCAGAAAAGTAAATTTTTTAATCCTCCCTTCCCCAAATTCAACATCACCCAGATTCACTAGCCCCTCAGTCTACCTTTACTGCAAGCTTTACTTGTCTATACTATTTTGAAAGCATTTTTGGAAATTTTACTTCTAGTAATTAATCTAAGGAGTAATTACACAGAGTTATTTCAAGTACTCAGAATGTTTATACAACATTGCTTATAAAAACCCAAAACTGACAATTATCTAAAACCACCACAGGAGTCATATTAAGTAAATTAGAATATATGAAAAAGTGAATTGCTATGCAAGCATTTAACATTAATGTGATAAATCTATCTCTATTGAGCCAAAAAGAAAAAAATTATGTACGAAAATAGGAAGCATCATTAACTTTAAAAAATTGTATTGTTATTATAAAGGTGATGTACAGAGGGTTTACAGCTCACTGACTTAAAAAAAGTGCACACATAGATCTCTATTTGCATATATCAAGCAATGTGGAAAACTGTTCACCAAAATAAAAGCAGTTGGTACTTTTCAGTGATAAGCTTTCAAAGAATATTATTTATTTGTTTGTTTATTTATTTTGGGTCCAGTAGTGGGGCCTGAACTCTAGGCCTGGGCGTTGTCCCTTAGCTCTTCAGCTCAAGGCTAGCACTCTACCACTTGAGCCACAGCACCAGTTCTGGCTTTTTTCTTTTTGCTTATGTGGTGCTGAGGAATCGAACCCAGGGCCTCATGCTTGCAAGGCAAGTGCTCTACCACTGAGCCACCTTCCCAGCCCGTCAAAGAATTTTAAGTCCTTACATTTACCTAGAAAAAAATTAAGCAATGAAGAATATATATTCACTTTACAAAAGCAATTTGCTTTTTTCTTAGAGTACTAATGATGCAGACAAAGTTGACACTAGGATTTAGTAGTTTACAGAGCTGACTGTATGTGTACCACAGCTTAGAAAAGGACTGTCACTGTGAAATACCTGGCAGAGAAGTTCAGTCATCATAGCCCTACCAGCCACGATAGAAGAGGTAGCAAGAGGCAAAAGACCACACAGAAATGAAAGAACTGGAGTCAAAGCAGGGGTCCTCATGTGTGACCTACTTATTTATATTATGCATATCTTATTCACACTTATTCATACATATTCATAAGAATGCTTCCGAGCCTGTACAATTACCACTGAAATATTTTCTGGGTAAAAGGCCATGATGGCATTGATTAGACTGGCAAACGGCAGCTGGTGCTTGACCAAAGGGTAGAGGACAGGAGTATAGAAAGAACAAAGTTAGAGTTTACTGCACTTATCTTTGCCAAGAAGCCACATTTTTCCAAAGAGGTATCTCCAACAGATAGAATTCGAGCTATGAAAAATGTTTAACCATTTAAAAAAATTCCAAAGGACGGGGCTGGGAAGGTCACTCGGTGGTAGAGTGCTTGCCTTGCATGCCTGAGGCCCTGGGTTCAATTCCTCAGCACCACATAAGCAAAAAAGAAAAAAAGCCAGAAGTGGCACTGTGGCTCAAGTGGTAGAGTTCTAGCCTTGAGCTGAAGAGCTGAGGGACAGCACCCAGGCCCAGAGTTCAGGCCTCACAATTGGAACCCCCCCCCCAAAAAAAAAAGAAATCTAATTTTGCCCAATATTGGATTATGTGACACTTGTTTACAACTAGAATATACACTGATAATCTTTGGTTTTTGTTTGTTTGTTTTTTGGGTCCAGTCAAGGGGCCTGTGGCCCAAAGGGGTAGAGTACCAGCACAAAAGCTCAGGGACAGTGCCCAGGCCCTGAGTTCAAGCCCCAAGACTGGTGCATATGTGTGTGCACACGCGTGCGTGCACTCACACACACACACACACACACACACCCTAACACCAGTATTTCTTATTATCATTTTCTATGACCTTAGGAGCATTAACACCTTGGGACTAGCTAGGTAGTGACATTCTAGGTAAATGAGAGACACCCTCTTCTTTTGACATGTAAGAAAAAGCCACAAAGGGGAGAGGGGAGGGCTGGCACTGTCTCTGGCAAGGGAAGACAGGCGGGAAGGAAAGATCTGGAAACTAGAACCTTCCGATCGCCCGCACCTTCACACTCCTTGCAGAGCTGGGGGTCCTTGCATGTCCTCTGCTCTCTACACTGGAGGCAGCGGCAGTGGCTACAGATGGCTCTTTGCCGTTCCCTGAGGAAGGAGAGGCTGCGGTGCCCTATGCGAACTTCGCCCTGGGGTGATGCCAATGTGGGCCGCACTACTTTCCTCTCCTCTTTATCTCCCAATAGGAGGGAGCTGACAGCTTGGCCCAGCCAGCAGAAAACCTGTGAGCCAGGCTCCACTAGACAAGCAGGCCTTCACCTCCCTGAGGACTGGGGACCTGAGAGAGCAGACACAGGCAGACATTTCCCCCACCGCAGCCAGGGCAAAGCTGTCCATGGCCTGGGCAGATGGCACCATCCCCATGGCCCTGCTCTAGCTTGTCTTCCCCACTGTCTCTCCCATCCTCTCCTTTTCCACACTGGTAGCTCATGCCTGTCTTCCTACCTACTCAGGAGGCTGAGATCTGAGGATTGTGGCTCGAAACCAGCCCAGGCAGGGAAGTCTGTGAGACTCTTATCCCCAATGAACCACAAAAAGCTAAAAGTAGAGCTGTGGCTCAAATGGTAGAGCATTACTCTTGAGCAAATCAGAGCTCAAGGGCAGCACCCAGGCCCTGAGTTCAAGCCCCATGACCTACTTAAAAATAAAAATTGGAAAAAAAAAATTGAAAAATCAAGAGAGTTTCCCCCAGTCAGAGATTTTTACCCAATTTGAGGACCCCACCCCAGCTTCTATCTTCTCATGGGATAAAGTCCAAAACAACCCACATTTTGGTCTCATCCAAAGTCCCAGCTGTGACCTCTGCTCCATCCCCTTCTCCTGCTGCTCTCCCAACACTAAGCAGGCAAAGGTGGGCATTAAATGTCCTTTGAATGCCAGTTAGCTTGAAACACATAAACGCATAAGTGATGTTAAACAAAATCCCTACGAACAATGACACGGCATTAGACCATGCCTGTGGAGAATGTACACATTGGCAGAGAAGCAGAGAGAACACTGAAATAAAAGGTG